GGGGGCGTTTACTGCACGTTTACCAACCTAGTGCTCTTGTGCCCCTGCAGGTGGAGTGCATTGATGAGCATCAGGCCAACGAGGCCCTGGAGGAGGTAACTCTCTGGGTGGTTCCCTCTCTACAGGACATGATGCAGGACACGCAGAGGCTGTTCTGCACCCCACTGTGGTGCGATGGGTGGAAGCCTGGTGGAGGCATGGAGGGTCAGAACCAGCTCTTGCCCTGTGCTATGAAGTCAGAGGCCCCCAGGTCATGAAGGGAGTCTGTGTGCCAAACACTCATTTGTAAATGCAGGTGCTGACAACTTAGAATATATGTTCTCAGAGAACATGATAACCCTTAAATGTTGGCTAGGTCCCTAGGCTGATCTACCAATAACCACCTTTTGAAAGATTTTTTTCTTCAATTGTAAAAGTATCAGTTACAATAGAATATTTGGAAAATAGAGAATTGGTTAACAAAGAAAATATAAACTCTTACGTTCCTTAAATCTGCCAATCAGAACTGACAGTAACATCCTGATTTATGATAGCAGAAACAGCTGCATATACTTCGATTTGCCGGCAAAGGCTCCGCGTCATTTTTCTCTGCTGTTCTTGAATTTCACATGAGGTTGAATGTCTCCCTTCCTATCTAATGGTCACTTGTTTGTCTTTTTTCCGGAATCACCAGCTTTTGGGCTTTGCTAGCAAACAGCTCTTCTGTCCACAGTGTGTCTGACACATGGTGATGGACCCAGGCCACATTCATGAAAGAAAGAATGTGGGGGGGGGCCGTCCCGCGCCCCCCCCAGCATCACAGCCCCCTCTCCACTCCACTAGGCGACCTCCTTTCACACCCAAGCTGCTGTCATAAGCAGCTGCCGTCCGGCCTAAGTCGCTAAGGGAGCCGTTTCTACTGCCTAATGCTGTTCGTTTGCAAAGCACTTTGAGCTGAGGGCAGGGGCCCTGGGACCTCTAGTGTACACAACCAGGAGGCCAGGTGGCCTGGGCACAGCAGCAGCGGCCGGCCTCCCGTTGGCCACACCCCCTTCGTCAGCCAACCCGGACTGTGCCTGTTTCCAACGCACCAGGCGCTCTGCCTACATCGGCTTACCTAGTCCTCCCGACACCCCTGTGAAGCAGATACCACCGTTACTGCCGTTTCCAGATGAGGCTAGGAGGCTCAGAGAGGTTGAGGAGCCTCTCCTCAGTCACACAGCACAGCCAGCTCATGCCAGAGACAGGACATACCCTGGGCTGTCTGGCCCCTAACCTCCAGCTGCCCAACCTCCCTGGGCCCGCGCTCAGAGCTGGAAGCATGTGGTTTTTGTTGGGACGTGTGACAGAGAAGCACCTCTAGAAGCAGTGTTTCCCTAACATCTCCACTTTCTCTGGCCTCGCCTCGCAGTTGATGCCACTGCTGAAGCTTCAGCATGCCCACGTCTCCATCTACCAGGAGCTCTTCATCACGTGGAACAGTGAGGTGGGTCAGAGCCAACCCCGCGGGCCCAGCAGGCACTCAGGGTGGGCACAGAGCACCCCCCCGCTGTGCCCCCCAAGCGCCAATGGCCGCAGCACTCATGGGGCCACGCCGGGAGCTCTCTGGGCATCGTCTCACGTGCGTCCCACAGCCTCTGCATAGGAGGGTCACTGTCCCACTTTCCGGAAGAAGTGGAGGCTGGGAGAAACCAGCTGGCGACAACCGAGCAGGATTCCAGTCTGGGTCTGGTCGCCCCGAGCCCCGTGCTTGGTCCCATTGGCGAGCTGATTTCTCATCTTCAAGGAGCCGGAAGCTTGCCGGTTACTCCACATGGGGCTGAGCTGGGGGATGCGGGGGGCTGGAGGGGAAGGGGGCCAGGTGTGACCCCACAGTCAGACCCCCATCTGGGCTGACAACCGAGGGAGGAGCCCCCTCCCCTTCAGCTGGGCCCTGAGGAAAGCCGTGGGGAGGGCCCCTCACCACCTGTCCCAGGTATTTTCTGAGCACCTCCTCACGCTCTCAAGGGGGACACAGAGAAGCCAAGAGGACATGTCACTGCGGGAGGGAAGGCAGGGTGCTCTGAGAGGCCTGACGGGGGCTGCTGGGGTCCTGTCGGGTGCAGGCCCCTCAGAGGGAGGAGTGGATCTCAGCTGAGCCCTAAGGGACAAAGAGCCTGGTGCCCCAGACACGGTGGTCTACGTGTGCGGTGGCCAGGAGACCCCACGCCCCTTTAGGTTTTCCTAAAGCAGCTTTAGTGTAGATGGGGGGTAGGGGGGGTGGGGGGAGGAGAGAGGAGGCGGAGGCGGGAGCTGCTCAGGAGGGGCTGTTCCCCCCACAGAAGGGGGCATTCTCCCATAGTCACTGCCGGTGGTGGCCTGGCTGGGAGGAAAGACCTGGAGCAGGTGACGGCCCGGAAGCCCCCAGGCCTGGGCCTCTGGAGGCCAGAACTCGGCACCTGGCTAAGGGGCTGTGTCCCCTGCAGATCTCCTCTCTGTTCCTTTGCCTGGTGATGGAGTTCCACGAGGGAAGCTTCCAGAATGTCATTGAGAAGAAGAGGGCGGCAAAGAGAGTCATTGACTCCCAGGTAAGACAGACTCTCTGGGGCACCAGGCCTGGGTGCCACAGGCCCCACAGCAGGGGGCAGAGGGGTGGGCACCGATGGAGTCTGGTCTCATTTCTTCCGACAGTTATGAATGAAGGTATTTGCATACCGTAACGTGCACAGATCTTAAGTGTACACCTTGGTGTGTTTTGCATAGGCAGACACTCCCGTCCCCTCCCTCACATGAGGTCAGAGCGTTCCTGGACCTTCAGACAGTCCCAGCCAGTACCCAGGGTTCGACTTCTGCCTCCAGAGATCCTTCTGCCTGTCCCTGAAGTTCTCATAAATGGGCTCATACAGCATGTTGTTTGCTTGTGTCTGGTTTCTCGCGTTCATCCCAGTGCTTTGAGATTTACCCACCTGTGAGTGTGTCAGGAGATCATCCCTCTCCACTCTGTCAGATGGCCACATCACCATCAGTGTATCTGGTCCAGTGCTGTGAGCATCTGTGTTGCTTCCAGTTTGGGGCTATTATGAAGAAGGGCTGCCATGAACACTGCTGGGCATATGTTTTGATGGACCTAAGCATTCATTTTCTGCGTGACCGTGGAGTTTTTGGATCACAGAATGGGTGCGTGTGCTGCTTTAGCCAGTGTGCCAGTTTTCCAGGATGGTTGGTTGACTTGGTGTTGATTCTCATCCCAAGTTGTGAGTCTTTCGGCTCTGCATCCTGGCCCACATTTCACTGTGTCAGTCTTCTTAATTTTAATTAAAAATTATATTTTAGTTTCAATTATTTTGAGTAGTCATGGTGAGTGCTTTTTGGCCATTTGGATATCTTCTTTTGTGCCTGTTCAGGTCTCTTGCCCATTTAAACATTAGGGTTGTCTGTCTTTTCTTGTTGATTCATAGTGGCTCTTTATGTATTATGGACACAGTGTCCAGATGTCCTCTCCCAGTCTGTGGCTTGCCAGTTCACTTTCTTAATTGTAATGAACTCTGGTTCATCAGTGTTTCGCCTGAGGTTGGTGTCTTCTGAGCCTTTAGAGAAGGCTTCCCCGCCCCAAGGTCATGACGATATTTTCCTCTGTTGCCCTTGGAGCTGGATCCATTTTGCTTTCACATTTAGGTCTATGACCCACCCCAAATAAATTTTGCCTGCTTTTGCTCTGAACACGCCTCTGTTCTGTTGGGCCACCAGGCACTGCGACCCTACTGGGGTGTTCTGAGGGGCACGCAGCTCCAAAGTGGGCCTCAGAGACAGCCTCTGAGTGGGTTTCAAACTTTCTGTTTGTAGTAGAGCCCTGTCGAGCACAAAAATGTTCTCAGAACCCCCAGTAAGGAAAGCAGAGCTACTCTAGTCAGGGGTCTGGGGGTCAGTGGAAGGTGGCGTGGCAGGAACCCCAGGGTCCTGCCTGCTCAGCCCCTCTCTTGACACCCCAGGTGGAATCCAGGGCTCCTAGGAACACGGTTTGAAAATCACTGCCCTGGAAACCAGGTGGATCTTGTTTCTGACACAAACTGCTTTCAGAATGTTCTCTCTCAGGGATCTTTCCATTCTAATGCCCTGGAGAGGCAAACCCGAAGTAGCAGCTGCAGACTTCAGCATTTCTGGTACCCATGGGGTGGGACCCGGGCGGGGCTAGAGCCCCAGGGCCCCCGGGGTCTGCTGGAGACAGGAGTGGGGGGTCTGGAGACCAGGGCGTCGCCGGCTAACAGGGCATTTCTGTCCAGAGGGCCTCGAAGCAGCCTGCAGCAGAAGCTCCCGCACTGGCTCTGAGCTGTTGGCCGCTCACTTCAGGCCCATTTCAAGACGCAGGGTGGGAACTGGCCACGACCCTGCTGGCTGCTCTGAGTGGTCACTGACCTGCCTAAGAGCAGCTGGGAGGCCCACCTGGGAGCTTTCAGGCCCCCCCAGTCCTGGCATCTCTCGCTCTTTCCCCAGTGGATGCAGAACATGCTGGGCCAGGTGTTGAATGCGCTGGAGTACCTGCACCAGCTGGACATTATCCACAGGTGACCGGGTGGCCAGGCTGCTTGAGGAGAAAAGGCACCTCCTGGGGGTGGCACCTCCAGGTGGCAGCGCCTGGGCGCGGGCCCAAAGGAGAGAGGTGCAGCTGGGACAAGGACGGGCCCCTCCCCCTCCCAGAGCACCTCCCTGGCTTAAAGAGAGTCACCCCCTCCACGACCCTCCCCATGCACAGACAGGGCAGTTGGTTCTAAAGTGCAAGGGAAGAACCAGATAACAGCACTGACGAAGAGATTAGGCTGCCCGAGGGCCTCTGGGCACTCCCAGGCTGAGCTTTTGACCTGCCAGTTTCATTCTCCAGAATCGTGATCTGAAGGATCAGTGCTGTATTTAGAGGAGAGAAAACTGTGTGAACCAAACGTAGGAAGGAAATGCTCGAGATTCCGTGTTAATGTCAGCTGAGATCTGGAAGGTCATTAGCAGAGGGACCACGGGAGGATCAGTGTTTCCTTACTTGCAGTTGGCTTGTTTTTCCCATTTGAAATAACAGTATATTTATGCTTACAGAAAACGATATTCAAAAAGTGGCTGAACAACAACAACAACAAAAAGTGGCTGAACAGGGCATCTACTGAGGAGAGAGGAGGAGGGGTGTGGGCTGCTGCGGCGGCCCTGGGTGTGGCGGGAGCGGAGGGTTCACAGACGGACGTGGCCCTGCCAGGCAGTGGGTGGAAGGGCGCGCCTCTCGGTTTCAGGAACCTCAAGCCCTCCAACATCGCCCTGGTCAGCAGTGACCACTGCAAACTGCAGGACCTGAGCTCCAACGCACTCATGACCGACGTAGCCAAGTGGAACGTCCGTGCAGAGGAAGGTGGCTGGCGTCCTCCCGGCCAGCAGACAGTGGTGGCGGGGGAGCACTGCGGGAGGGCCCATTCAACCGAGTGGGGGGGCATGCAGGGTCCAAAAGACACTCAGAAAATGTTAACCTTCAAGAAGGGGGAAGGAAGGCCTCAGAAGGGAGGAGACTGACATGCACAGAGGGAGGGCTGGTGGACGGCAGGCATTGGCTCGGGATGGATTACTTTACTGAGTCTCAGAATAACCCAGGAGGTGGTAAAGGTGAGCAGTCCGGGGAGAGAAGTTTTCCTTCCTTTAAAAAAACAACAGGGCGGGCTTCCCTGGTGGCGCAGTGGTTGAGAGTCCGCCTGCCGACGCAGGGGACACGGGTTCATGCCCCGGTCCAGGAGGATCCCACATGCCGCAGAGCGGCTAGGCCCATGAGTCATGGCCGCTGAGCCTGCGCATCTGGAGCCTGGGCTCCGCAACGGGAGAGGCCACAGCAGTGAGAGGCCTGCGTACCGCAAAAAAAAAAAAAAAGACAACAGGGCAAAGGGAGCTGGGATTCAACCCTATAACGGCTATCAGGGGTGGAGAGAGCAACTCTCCAGTGGAGGACTCCAGAGTCCCGGGCTGGCAGGGACCAGTGGCATGCTGTCCTTGATGGGTGGATGGGTGGATAGATGGATGGATGGATAGATGAGTGGGTGGGTGGATGGACAAATGGATAGATGAACATGCAGATAGATGAACAGACGGATAGATGGGTGGAAGGATGGATAGGCGGGTGTGGGTGGGCAAGTGAGTGGACGGGTGGATCTACTGGAGGTGTAGATGGCAGGGGTCCTTGGAGCCCACCCCTTTGCTCTTTGTTTGGGGAATGGAGGCCTGGAGAGGGAGGGGCTGCCTGCAGCCTGTCAGGCACTGATAGAGCTGGGCCGGGGACCCTGCTCTTTTGGCTCCCTGTCTGGAGTTCAGGTTTGTTTGTTTATGTATGTATGTATGTATTTATTGGCGGCGCGGCATGCGGGATCTTAGTTCCCTGACCAGGTATCGAACCCGTGCCCCTGGCAGTGGAAGCGCAGAGTCTTTACCACTGGACAGCCAGGGAAGTCCCAGGGATTCAGGTTTAGAAACTAGGGCAGGGCAACCAGAACATTGCCTCAAGGTCCCGACTAAGTGTTGGGAGGGGCAAGACGTTTATGGAGAGTGCAGATTTTAGCCTTTGTGGCAAATGCCCCTTCCGATTATTTCTGCAGCTGCAGTGGGACACAGGTGCGCACACGGCCAGCCTGGTGGGCCCCTGCCAAGATGGGCAGCCTCACTGGTGAAGATCAAGGGCCAGGATCTTACTGACCAGGGGCCTCTTCCTTTTCCCCCTCAGATAGCACATCTCTCCCTCCCTGGAGGAGGGTGATGGAGGGCTCATTTTTCAAGCTGCTTGCTTCCCCAGGGAGCATGGGACTCACGCAGCCCCCACTTCACTCCTACCAACAGACCCCTCTCACAAGTCCTGGATGGCCCCCGAAGCCCTCAACTTCTCCTTCAGCCAGAAATCTGACATCTGGTCCCTGGGCTGCATCATTCTCGACATGGCCAGCTGCTCCTTCCTGGATGTGAGGGGCCTTCCGTCCACCCCTCCCCACCACACCTGAACCCCACTCTCCACAGCCCCAGGGAGCCAGGCTCTGCCCACCGCCGGCCCTGAAAAGGGCGCATTCTTCCCGTTGGCACCCTCCTGCCCACCCTGAGTGCCTGTGGGGCTGTGTGGAGGACCCCCGCTGCCCCAGCCGCCAGAGGACCCCGCATTTGGGCCTGCTCGGCCCTCATGTGGTGGTGGTGATGGTGATGGTAACATTCAATCTGCCCCAACAGCACCCCCTTATGGACAAGAACAGCTGAGTTCGGGTGCACTAACCGGCCCCCAGTGGGAGTCCGGCCGTGGACGGGGGGCTGTTCCCTTACTCCCTCCAGCCAGTAAGATGGCCACTTGCTTTTCTCTGAACTTCCATTTCTTCTTCGTACAAGAACTGTGGGGCACAGGTGGCCTCTGTGCGTTCCTGACGGCGGCGGCCACGTCGCCTCCCCTCTGCCCGAGGTCAGGCCATCTTCCTTTAGCTGAGGAGGTGCACAAGTGGTCCTCTCTCTCCTCCCAGAGCACGGAAGCCATGCTTCTGCGGAAGTCCATCCGGAGTTCCCCCGACGGCCTGAGGGGTGTCCTGAGGACCATGGAGGAGAGGAGGGTCCCCGATGCGGAAATCTTCAGTTCCCTTTTGCCTCTGATGCTCCAGGCCGACCCGTCGGATCGAATAACCATCAGGTGAGCTCAGGCCCTGGGGTGGCAGTTCACTGTCAGCCTGTGCACGCACTTGGGGTTTTCATACCACAAAGCGCTGCGTCCATGGACAGTGGCTCCTCCAGTTTGGGCTGCCCCAAACCGTGGCCGCATCTCTGAGTGCAAGACGAACAGGGCCAGCTTCCCCATCAGGTGCGCGAGGCATGGCCCAGGGCCCAGGAAAACGTTTTAACTCTAATGTAAAGTCAGAAGAACAAAATGATCCACCCTGGGTTATATTCACCTTTATACCAACACAGCCAGAAATTGTGATTTTGGGGTCTATGTTATGGAGGAAGGGGCCCATGCGAGTGCAAGCGCCAGGGCCCAGCACTGTCCTCCCTCAGCCCCTCCTGGAGGGGGAAGTGCTGCAGTGCCCGCTGGACGCACTGTGATGCTGGGAGGGGTGATCCCAAGCGGGTGCCCAAAACAGGTGGAGGCCCAGCAGCTGCTGGACGCAGAGGGGACGCAGGGCCAGCTGGCGGCTCTCCGCCCCTCCCCAGGGACGTGATTCACTTGTTTGTGAGCAGCGACTTCAGCTCCTCCAGCAGTGCCCTGATGCTGCACCAGCAGGTGGTGCCCAACTTCCTCATCGACATGCTGCTAGAGAGCAGCGTCACCAGCACCTTAGGTGATGATGGGGCCCTGAGGGGGCGGCGCCAGAGGCTGCTGTGGCCCCGGCACCCCATTGTCTTTAGCTGGGGGGCAGTGACCCCCCCCAGTCCCCTGGACCGCTCCTCACACATGGCCTTTGGGCTTGCCCCTCGTCCATCCCAAGCACTGCTTTGCTCAGGGTACTACCCCGCTCAGATACCCCTGAGCTTACCTAGAGCAGAGTTCATCTCTGTGGCCAGGCCCCCACCTGCTTCCCCTCTGTTCCGGCTACACAGTCCTCGACGTCACCAAACAGCCCCTCACTGCCACGCACCCCACCACAGACTCCCCGCTTTTTGCTCGCTTGCCCGGCACACAGCGGCCCGGTGCCTGGAGTGTCTTGCCCAATGAGCAGCACCTCCTGTGTGGTTGCTACGTGCCCAGAATGGTGCTCACGCTGGGGCCGGCACAGCAGCCACCGTGGACCAGCAGGCACGGCCCTGCAGGAAGGTGAGGTGGCCCAGGGGCTCCGTGTGCAATGTGACATGTGCAGGCCTGAGGCTCCAGGCACAGTGCTGGCTGGTCACCCCCCACCCCGCAAAAGTGCACACGATAGACTCCTCCGTGTGCCCCAGGCTGGGGGCTACCCCCACGGTCTTGGATAGAGAATGGATCTGGAGGTCATCTTCCAGTTCGGGGGTGGCTCCGCCCTCCCATCCCTCCTCCCCGTCAGTGGCTCCCTGCGCCGGCTGCCTGTGATAAGGGGCTGCCACCTCTGCCTCCCTTTCTGGAGAAGGGGACCCGTGAGGGCCCAGCTGCTGTCTCCCTGTCTCGTGGCCATGGGCTTTGGAGGCAGACAGCTGGCTCCAGCTGAAGGTCATCGCCCTGAGTACCCTGGAGGGAGTTACCTGAGGGAGGTGTGGAGTGGAAGCACCCCCCTGGGCGGGTTCTCAGGCAGATCCGGGTTCGACTTTGGACAGGTGGCTCGGCCGGGAAGGTGAGGATGATAAGGCCGCCACCTCGCGCCGGGTCACGTGGGCCTGTGCAGTGGTGCTCACGGATGCGCCCCTGGTGCCCCGGCCCTCAGGCGGGTCCCTGAGCCAAGGCGCCTCCCCGTGCTGCCCTGTCCCCCGCAGAGGTCATGCAGAACTTCTCCAGCCACCCCGAAGTCCAGCAGAGGGCCCTGGAGAGGCTCCTGAGGATGTCTGAAGACCAGCAAGGTAGAGCCGCCACCCTCTCGCCTTCCCCCAGGTGCCCCGGCCCTTCCAGCTTCCCTAGCTGGTACTTTCTGACGCCCGTTTACATTCCCATGAGCATGCACGGCTTTACCACCTGCTTGGAACAGGAGCCTGGACTTCCTCCTGTGCCGCCGCTTTCACTGAGCAGACAAGTGGGCGGGGGCTGGGCTCGGCATCCGAACCACTTCCCGGGGCCCCCCTCACGTGCTGCTCATGGATGCTTAATAGACACCCTGTCCCTGCCACCATCCCTCTGGTTGGCTATTTGAGTGGTTGCCGATTCCCCGGTATCATAAGCAATGTTACACAGTCCACCCCGGGGCATGTGTGTGTGTGCTCTGTGTGCTTCTGCAGGATAAATTCCTAGATATGCAGGCTGTGAATACTTCACATTTTCATAGATACTGCAAATTGCCCTCCGTCGATGCACCAACTTTCTCACCTCCCAAGAGTGCATGAGAACACCTCTTCACCCAACTTTCTCCATCAAGGAGTATTAATATTTTTAATTTTGCCAAAACATTGGTTTGTAAAATCTCTGCCCTCAATCTGTCTCACCAGCCTGAATATTACATTCATTCACTCATCCGTCCATCCATCCATCCACCCGTCTCTCCATCCGTCCATCCATTCATCCACCCGTCTCTCCATCCATCCATCCACCTGTCTCTCCATCCGTCCGTCCATACATCCATCCGTCCACCGATCTTCCTTCCATAGATGGTCGTCCCAGTGGCCGGGACAGCAGAGATCATAAGGGCCCAGTGCCAGCCCTCTAATGAGGCAGCAGAGACCTCACCTTGGCCATTTCCCTTCCCCTCCCTCTCCTTCCCCGTGACCCTGTCTAGAGCAAGGCTGTGGAGAGGAGAGAGTCCATGGGAAGAGATTCTGCCTTCCCAGAGAGAGTGAGAGAGGCTGCTGGGCCCCTTCCCAAGACTGGCCTCGGCTGTCACCCCAGAGCCACACCTGCCTCAGCCAGCCTCGCATGGAGACGGGATAGCCATGGCTTGGCTTCCCTGGTGCCAGCACTTTTGTCCTTGTCATTCTTACCAGGAGGACACAGGCTGAGAGAGGTGAAGCAGCGGTTAGGAAGGGGCGCAGCTCTGTGGACCCCCGGCTGCCCACCACTGCCTTCCCCCCTTGCCAGCACACGCCCTGGCCCAGAGGAAGGCCTAAGGGACCCACAGATGTCCCCTCTCAGGGCAGTAACGGCCAAAGGCTCTGGAGTCAGATAGGCTAGGTTCAAAGCAAGGGCTCACATCTCCCTGACCCTCAGTTTTCTCATCTGTCAAATGAGGATCGATCTTGTAGAGCTGCTGGAAGAAGATCCCTACGGCAGACGCGTGGCAAGCACTCAACACACCCTGACTGATCGCGTCTGATCACCCATCTGCTCGTCCACCCAGGGGCCCACGTGTGACGCCCTGCAGACTCCCATCAGGGTCTGGTCCACACCCCCTCCCGCCACCTGCTCGTACGCCGAGTCTCACTCTGCCCCCCACGCTGCCAGGTGTGCCGTGGCCGGCGGAGCTGGCGGAGGTGTTGGTCGGCATCGTGAAGCAGCACGACAGGGTCCTTGACGCACAGCCGTGTGCCTGCTCCCTGCTGCTCCGCACCGGGGGCCAAGGTGGGCTCCAGGCACAGCTGGCTTCTCCTACCCCCGTCCTCCCACGCCAGTCATCCCCCAGGCATCTGACCCTCTGGGCACCCAACCCCACCCCAGGATGACAGGCAGGGCACAGCCAGGAGTCTGGGGCACCACCCGAGGCCTGCCTCTGTGGCCCTGGACCAGCTGCTCCCCCTTCTGGCTGATCTCTAGGCATGAAACGAGGAGCTGGTCATAGGGGTCCTGTGGTGTGAGCCCAGGCAGGTGGGATGGGGTCCCAGGCGTGGGCTCCCAGGAGGGCAGCTGAGGAGGGATGGGAGAGGCTGGAGCTGAGAGCCCGAGGGCCTGGCCTCCGATTTTTAAACTGGAATACTTCACTGCCTTCTCACTTGAATATTTAGGCTGAATTTCCATGTAATGCTTTACACCGCACGTGCTCACAGCCCTGGCAGGGCCCCCAGCCCTCCGGTCCTTGGCTCGGTCGTGCAATAAGCACTTATGGGGCGCCGGAGCCCCGACCTCGGCTTCCTCCCTGGAGACCCCGCCCCCGCCCCCGCCCGCTGTCTTCCCACCGTGGCCCCAGCTAAGGGTTCCCCGGCCTCTTTTGCTGGCCTGCGCAGCACTGGGGCAGGACCCGGCGGCCACGGCGCCGAGCAACAGCACCACGGCCCCCATGCCGCTGAGCGTGCTTAGAGCCACCCCGAGGAGCAGCAGCCCCTGGTCACGGTGCACCGCCCGCTCACCGTCGCCAGCCAGGGTGGGCGCCGCCCTCCCGTGGGCGCAGGGCTCAGGCGGGTAGCGCCTGGATGCCCCGAGGGGACAGCTGCTCCGTCCCCAGCTTCCATGTTCACAGTCACGTGTCCCTCTGGCAACATGCACGGGCCGCAGCCAGGCGCCCCCATGGGCTTCACGCCGACGTGTTTCGGGTTCCAGCCCTTGCTGCCCCACCGGCCCCGCTCCAGAGGCCACCAGCGAGCAGTCGGGGGACGGTGTGGGGAGAGGGTCACCACCGAGGGCTTTACACATGTTCCCCATCTCCAGCCACTAACCGGGTGGGCATCGTTCTCTCCAAAGGGAAGCTGGGGCCTCACCTGGAGCCCCGCAGCCCCCACCCCCCCTACACTCACCAGGCAATTTACCACATTTCATTGACCCCGCGCCGAGAAGTCCAAAGGGCTGCCGTGAGTAGCCATGTTGGGACAGCAGGTGTAAATCGGGACCACCTGGCAAACAATGCCAGGTGATCACCCTGAGAGAACACAGTCGTGGTCCCATCTTGGAAGGAAAGCTCAGAGGCCGGTCCCAGCCCAGTAATGGGACGGGAGGTGCTGGAACGGTGGCCCAGGGGATGGCTCATACCCTTGTTTCTGGGTCTCATGCTGGGCATGAAACTGGCCAAGTAGGCACCACTGGCGTGGGATGCATGGGATTGCAGTGCCCTAGGACCACAGAGAAGGGGTGGCCCCCAGGGAGGGCTTCCTCCAGGAGGTGTTCTCTGTGGTCCTAATGCTGGGGCCCACCTGCAGGACTGGCCACAGACGAGCTGCGGAGGGCCGGGCTGTGCGAGCGCATCCTGGAACGCCTGGATGCCTTCCCCAGGAACAGGGACACCTGCATCAACGGCCTGAGGCTGCTCTGGGCTCTGCTGGTGGACGGTGAGCGGGCCGGGGCTGCGCCCTAACCACCCGAGAGCCGGGAGGAGAGGGAGACAAAGGGCCAGGGTGGACGGGAGAAGCTGCACCGGCATCCTGGGGAGGGGTGGGTTCATATTCGGACCCCCTCGTGCCCAGCCCATGGAACCCTCCAGCTCACGCACATCGTGGGATTTCCTGGGCAGTCCCTGGTTCCACAAGCTGGCCTTAGCACTGGGCAAACCATCCTGACTTCTGATTCAGAAGGGGGGTGCTCCCAGGCCGTGCCACTCCCTCTCCAGGCCCCACTTGGTCCTCCAGCACCTGGGAGGTCATTTTCCCCAAGGAAAAGAGGGCTCCCGACCGTGGAGAGCCCTGCCCACACCCGGCACGCAGGGCTTCCCAAACCTCCCCTTGGGGGCCCTGCCGATTCCTACCCTACAGACTGGCTGGCAGGCTGGGGTTGCCCCTACCCCCCAGCTTCTGCGCCACCAAGGAGGTGTCCCCTCCTCCACCCCATCCTGTTCCAGCTGTCATAGCGAACAAGGCCCCCTGGGAGAAAGCCCCGGCCCTCATTGCTGAGGTGCTGGCCACCTACCCCACGGACGCGGAGATGGCTGAAGCCGGCTGTGCAGTCCTGTGGCTGCTGTCCTTGCTGGGTGAGCAGCCCGGGGCCCCGGGGCCTGAGAGGTGGCCCTGGGCCCTCGAGTCGAGACACGTGTGGCCCCCCGCAGGCTGCATAGGGGAGCAGCAGTTGGAAGAGGTGGTGGTCCTAATCCTGCAAAGCATCCGGGCGTGCCAGGACCGAGCCCTGCTGGTGAACAATGCCTGCCGGGGGCTGGCCAGCCTCGTGAAGATGTCTGGTGAGCCTGGGGACGGCCGGGGCTGCCACTAGGAGGCGGGGGAGACTCCCACAGCAACACCTGCCGGCAGCCCACAAACCAAAAGCAAGCACACGCTCAAAGCAGGGAAGGGAAACACCTACAGTCCCATCGCCCAGACATTGCCGCGCAGACCTTCTGTACCCTCACTTCCCGCCGCTCTCTGCAACTCCGCATGGTGACCACCTTGCCTGCCACCCACAAGCCTGGCGTGTGCGCAGGCTCCCCTCCAGGTGTGACTCTGAAAACAGCCCGAGTCAGGGCTCTGAACTCCGCCTCCAAGCAAACCCCAGCTGTTCCTAAGCCCCCGGCCCAGGTTCTGCACCCAACTTGGCACCACGAGCCTTGACGGACACTCGGGGCCTGGAGCCTGGCAGAGCTTGCCCGCCGTGTGGGGTGGTTTGGCCCCTGTGAGGTCCGGCCCCTGCTGGGTGTGCAGCCTGGTGGGTCTCTGCCTGCTACTCGGCCTGAAGCAGGGAGTGGGGTGACCTTCACTCCTGGAGAGAACCTCCCGAGCGGGCAGGGTCTCCGGGCCTACCCCCCACTCCCGCCGGGATCCCACCGTCAAACGGGGTGGGGTGCTGAAGCCCCAAGAGCAAAAGGCACGTGGCTCAGTGAACAAAGAGCGGGGTCGTCAGAACCCAGCGAGCGTGTGGGACCCCAGAGCCGAGAATCTCGGCTTTGCCTCCTGCTGGCTGTTGACGGCTAAGTCCATTCCCTGGAGGGTCAGCTTCCCCCTGGGCTCCAGGAGGATCTGACAACTACGTGACATCACGGGTCACTGCTCTCACGGGCCCCCAGTCCCCCAGGAGCCAGGCCCAACCTCGCACTGACGGGCCTCCTCACGGGGCAAGGAGGTGCCCTGGAACGTCCCCAGCACCCTCTCTACAAGCACACTGGCCTTGGGGGCTGCTGGGATGGAGAGAGAGGCGGGTGCACACCCCACCAGAGGACACCCGCAGATGCAGAGCCAGGAAAAGCCTGACCTTGGTGGTCCCCACGCTGCAGGACAGCATGGCGTCCCCTGCCAGCTGAGGCTCTTGCTGCCCCACGTGTTCAGTACTGTCACCCACCCACCCCCTCGCCCACGCCCAGAGCTGGCGGCCCTGCAGGTGGTGATGCCCGAGGAGGGCAGCAGTGGCCTCACCCTCATCCAGGAGACGTACCAGCTCCACCAGGACGACCCGGAGGTGGTGGAGAGCATCTGCATGCTGCTGGCCCACCTCGCCTCCCACAGTGAGGACCCCCCTGCCCTCGTCACGCCCTCCCTGGAAGCCAGCATTCAAGAGGCGCCCTGCTAGCGGCTATGACCACTGGGGGAGGGGCAGGAACCCTCCGTGCCGGGCACATGCTAAGCCTCGGCGGGGGAGGGGGGGCCTGGTCTCGGGACCCTCTGCTCTGCCCGCAGAGGACATCCTGTCAGAGCTGGTGTCCAGCGGCATCCAGCCCCTGGTCGAGGAGATCCACGGGCGCTTCACCTCCAGCCTGGTGAGTGTTGGGGGGCTGCCTCAGCCAGACCTGGATGGCACAGAGTCCAGGGGCCGGAGCAGTGGTGTGTGGAGGCGACTGGGGCTGCCGCGTGTGTGGTTTTAAGAGGCTCTCCCTGTATCACCGTGTCCACGACCTGACCAAAGTAAACCCTGGAGAGAAGCAGCAGTGAGACCGCTTCAAAGAAAAGCAGGTTAACAGAATTTACTCGTGGACCCAGAGACCGTCCATGGAAACGGCTGACCTGCTGTTCTCCTTGCAGGAGCTGGTTTCTTACGCACGAAGTGTGCTTCAGAAACTGGAAGAGGCCTTGCAGCCCAGCTCCCACGGTGGGCAGTAGACCTGTCGCAGGCAGCCGCCCGGGGAGGTCTGCCTCTCCCTCCTCAGGCTGTACCTGACAGGGCGCCCACTGCCACAGGGCGTCTCCTTAGGGGTGGGGGTCAGGGAGAGGTGTCACCCAGGACCAGCAGGGGGACACGGCAGTCCCCTCAGACACTGAACCTTCACAAGCTCCAGCTCAAGTAAAAACCTGCGTTTACGTCACACAACATCCTCTGTGGGTTCAGACTTTTTGTACGGCTAGCAGGGGCTCAGTATAGCCTGGTGCTAAACGCTCCACTCACGGCAACCGGCTGCTCCTGTGCTCAGAAAGCCCCCCGCGCCCGGGCCGGGGGGAGAGGGCTGCGGGCCGCCCGTGGTCAGAACATCCATCCTAGTCGGGGAGTCGCCCACCTCTGGGGAGAACCGTTGCCACCTCGCTGGGCAGCCTGAGCTCCCCACGCCGGCCATGGGCCCCGACCTGCAGTTTAAACTTGTGTGCGGCGGGTGAGAAAGGAACCGCTGAAAACCCCTCGACGAGGCTGCCGCCGGACTACCCACAGCCGCGCGGTCCAGGCTTGAGTCCGCGGAGTTCTTTCCTTTCCGTTGGCCGAGGCAACGAGGGAAAGGGGCCTTCTCGGAGGAAGGTGCCACACACCTGGGGACAACTAGGCGCTTCCGGTCCTGGGACCCGGGGATCCCCAGGGACAGCCCCTCCTCCCGTCCCTCGGCGGGGATGAGTCTCAGACGCCACAACCAGACAGGAGACGTTCTGCCCAGCAGCAAGCACGCCGCGTGCCCCTGCTGCCATGATTCTGAAACCTTCCCACAGGGTCACTGCTCCGGGGGGGACTCCATCTGTCCGGCGGCTTGGTCACAGCTGCCCGCGAGCGTGGTACAGGACGGGGCTCCTGCTAAGCGTCGTTACCGTGGGCTTTGGAGGCCGGGGGCCGCCTGTCTCGGGCGATGCTCTCCCACTCCTTCTTCACCAGGACGTACAGCCTCATCGCTGTCTGCGCATCTTGAATCTGGGGGACACGCAGCATCACCATGACTGTCCCGCTGGGCGACAAGCATGGCCACATACATGCCTGTCCATCCCACAGTTCCCGAGTCCTGGCATCAGACACGGACAAGTGAAGGAGAAAACTGACGAGAGCAGTGGTCCAGCACCACGGCCCTCACTGTGCTTCCGCGCCCCAGTTCATGGGAGGGAGGGACCCAAAGCGAAGGGATGAACGTGCTGCCTCGTGGGTGCTCCAGACACCACAGAATTAGGAAGGAGACGGGGTGGGGGACGGCAGGCCCTGAACTTGATGCTGGGGCACAAGAGCCCAACGGCTGGGCTCTGCAGGCCAGTGGGCTCGCGCGCGGTCCTAGAGGGCCTGCAATCCAGACTGGGGCCTTTGTCTCCGACTACAGTACACTAGTAGCTTTTTGGTGTGAAGTATTAGTTAAATGTAACCGTTTAGAATTTAACCGACACTTCGCAGGCCTGCTGTACCACGTCATTTATCACGGACCAGGAGCCTCCTAAGAAGCCGCCCAGGGCCCACTGTGTTTGTCTTCAGGTGACACTGCGCCTCGCACACGAGGCCCGGCACAGCCCCCAATCCCGAGGCCTGTCACCCGGGACACACTCACCGAGCAGTGCTCCGCCTGCTGCACCCGGATCCCCAGGACTCTCTCCGCAAGCAGCTTCAGAGACGGCCGTCCACTCTGCCAGGGGAGAGGGCAGCGCACAGCCACGCTCAGGTGGGGCCTCTGTAGGCCCTGCCTGGGCAGGGGAGTTGCCCGCTGAGCCCCGACCCAAGTGACCTTCAGTGTCCCTCCCACCGGAAGTGCCCGCGGCCCTGCGGGCTGGTGACACCCGGTCAGCCCACAGAGGAGGACCAGGAAAGGACTCTGCCATCTCTGCCTTCCGGCCTCAGGCTGCCCTGCTCATTTCAAGGGCAGCTCTGCCTCTGGAATAGACACGATGGCGGCTTCTTGCCTGCAGTCGGGGGTCTAATCACAGAGATCAGAGAGTGGAACTCACCTGCCCTCAGCGACACTAACTTTAAAGTTGGCATTTGGCAGAACTCTTTCTCTTCTAAGATTCCTTTTAGTTTTAAAGGTTAAAAGGAAAAACCAAATGAAACCCAACATCTTTCATCAGTAAGACAGCCTTCAGGGACCAGAACCGACAATCATGTGAACCGAGAAACTGAACTACGCTGTGTGGGGCCGCGCGGTTCCAAGTACCTTCACTTGGCTCCGGAAAGGCTTGTACTTCTGAGTGTCCCGGATCTTCTTCTTCGGGTGACAAAGAAACAACGCCTGGAGGAGAAAATAGGACGGGCGTTTTGTTGTCCATCTGCAGCAGTAGACCCCTTCCACCAAACTCCAACACGTGACACACGTGCACACACAAATAAGACAAGCACTGACACGAGCCTGAACTTCTGAGGGAAGATCACCATGGGAAAAGTGATGGAAGGACCATGGGCATGAAAACAGCCTTGAAACCGGGGAAGCTGGAGACTCAGTCACCAAGGAGTCAGCAAGCGGCTGAAACGCGAGTCTGCGTGGGGAGGGCGCGGGGAGGGAGCACGAGATACCGGGGCCTCTTGAAGTGAGAACGTTTATGACAAAACGCGTCTCCGTGGGCAGAGGACTCGTTGGTTTTTAACAGTTCAAGTTCTACTTTCTTTCTTTCTCGGCCGCACTGCGCGCCTTGTGGGATCTTAGCTCCCGACCGGGGATTGAGCCCAGGCCCTGGCAGTGAAAGCGCCAAGTCCTAAACACTAGACTGCCAGGGAATTCCCTCAAAATTTACTATTAAAAGACATTTAAGACCAATTTCTATGGGTCCCTGAAACATCGGAGGCTGCCAAGCTTCCAGGAAACACCGTTTGAAAAGCTGCAGGCCCAGGAAGGACAGTCTCCCACAACTGCACGCCCCGAGCTTCTCGTCCCAACAGGTGGGTCAGCTCTGCCCACAGTAGAGACCCTAAGGCGCTGAGGCTGAGCCCCACTCTCTGGGGCACGGGAAGGGGACCCTCCGAGCCTGCCTGCCGCCCGCTGTGCTGGCCGCCATGGGCCGGCCTGTGACACGGGGAGTGCCCAGTGGCTCCGAGGAATGGGCGCCGGGGATGCTCCCCGACAGGAGGGGCTCTGCCCTGAGAGGGGTGGTGGCCCATCGGGCGGGTGCGGGTGGCAGAGACAGCGCCCGGCTCTGCCTACGAGGGTGTGCAGGGACCCGCTCCCCCAAGCTGACACGGTGGGCGCATCACCCAAGTCACGGAGAGAGCACGACCACCCTGGACACCGCGTCACGTAAGAGGCGCCTGGAGCCGGCACCTTCAGGTCGTTGTGCAGCGCGTGTCCGACTAGAATCCGGCCCTTCAGCAGGTCTGCCACCTCCTTCTGAATGACTTCAAATTCTTCTCCTGGAAACAAAACAAAGCAGCGGTTTTTAGTGACACGTCCATCACTACCGTGCTGAGCGACAGGCTCCCCCAGGTTAGACCTCCGAGGACTGGCAGACGGGTCTCTCTGCTCAGGAGGGCGATGCCAAGGCCGAGGGGCCGTCCCAGCACCCCAACCGGGGAGAAGTGGGGGGAGCACACTCACAGCCCCCTGCCAGGGTAATTCTGACAGGTGAATCTAACAGTAAGAAGCCAGGGCATGTGTTTGATGTCTTTCCAACCGGAGATGAAAACGAGGCGGGGGTGGCCCTCGCCACAGATGGTGAGAAGCCCGGCTCTAGACCCTGGGCTCCGGAGGCAGCTCTGCTTGCTTTTTCGGAGCGGACCCCTCGGGGCTACGCCCTCCCCTAACGCCCAAAGGGCTGCAGCAACCGCGCTTGGGCCCCGCGCCTCTGCCCGCCCGCGACCCTAGCAGGACCGGCAGAGCCCGGATGGAGATGTGGTCAGGCCCTGGGGCTGACGAGCGGCCGGGCCACCTCGGGGGCTGTGCTCCAGGGAACCTGAGAGGTGCGGAGAGCAGAGAGCACGCAGCCAGAGGACGACAGAGCCGCCACCTCAAGCCCCTGCTCCCAGGATCTCCCCAGGCCCCAAATCTGGGGCCCCCTGGGTGCCTCTCTGCCCTCCCCCGACAGCCTGTCCATCGGCAAACCCTACGGGCTCAGCGTCCAGGGTGTGTCCCGAGCTGGGCCACGGCTCGTTGCCTTGTACAGCCACCTCCCTGACCAAGGGCACAGAGGACAGGCTCACTCCTCCACCCCCGCGCCCCGCCCCAGCCTATGCCCAGCGCGGAGGCCCCCCGAGGGGACCTGCGCCAGACCGGGCCCCGCGCTGCTCACGGCCTCGCCACAGCTTCCGAATCCTCGCGTAGGCCTGGGAGCCCCTCCAGCCTGTCCCGCCTCCCCACCCCTTCCCCACCCCACAGCAGCCTCTCTCCGTCCAGGAACGCTGTCCCGGTCTTCAGGTCGGGTGGCCAACAGGCAGCAAGGCCAACGCAAGCGGCCGTGGGAGCCTCTGAGCCCACCTGCCCAGGAGGGAGGAAAACCGCCGGGCTCTCGCTGCGCCCGCGCCTGCAGCAGAAAGGGCCGCAGGGAGACACGGAAGCACTCCAGCCGCCCCTGCCCGCGTGCCCGCGCTGAGGTGACCCACCCTGCGCCAGGTCGTCGGGCCGGATCCCGCTGACCGCCGTCCTGTAGTCAGTCACCGGCTGGGCTGGCTTCACGTACTTGTCATAAACACACTTCCCGTACTGGTTCACCAGGGACACGCGGGCCACGATGCTCTCTTCCCCCTTGGGGCCCACGCCCACCATCTCACAGTCCACGGCTAAGGCTTTAGTCAGGCTGGAGGGGAACCAAGGCTCCAGTTTAATCCACTCGCGGGACCCAGGAACTGGCACCACCGCTCAGTTATGGGACAAGGACGGGTGTCAGCCGGACGCCGAGAAGCGCCTGCCCAACTCAACGGGAGGAGAGGGAAGTGGGCCCTTCCTGAAGACCCCCGGCCCCGCCCCCCGGGGCCCTGCCCCCCGTGCCCTGCGTACCCGCTGAAGGCCCGCTCCTTCACCAGCGTGATGGTGCTCTCGCTCTGACCCAGCCGCTTCCGTGCTATCCTGGCTGCCTCCGGGCCGATGGCTGCTTCGATGTCCGCTGGGTCGACGTCGTCAAACCAGATGTCTTCTCTAAAAGGCAGAGGGGAGAACAGGCTGAGCGCGGGCAGGCGAGCGGGGTCTGCTCTTAGGGCCGCCAGCCCACCGCTCTGGCTACTGTGATCATCCTGGCGCTTTCCTTTTTAATTACTCATTAGGGACTTCCCTGGTGGCACAGTGGGTAAGACTCCGCACTCCCAATGCAGGGGCCCTGGGTTCGATCCCTGGTCGGGGAACTAGATCCCACATGCATGCCGCAACGAAAGATCTCGCATGCTGCAAGCAAGCCCGGGCGCAGCCAAAAAATAAAAAACAAAAAACACTCATTAGCTGAAACTTAGGAACTACAGAGCAACAGAAGAACATAAAACAAAAACACGCCCCCCACCCCCAGTCAGGTGTACCGGCTGCTAACATTTCCTTCTCAATTACAAAACTAACGGTTCAGTTATGAAACATTTAAGAACCTCAGAGAAACACGATGAGTGCAGAACATAGACAAAGAGCCCCACCACCAGGTCCCTGGGCCGAGCCCTGCAGACATGGACTGCAGCTGGGCAGGGATGGGTAGTGGTGGCTCGTGACTGCGTCTTTCGGGCTCAGCGTCCCTGTCATTTCTTTAGAGACGGCCTCCTGAGTTCACTGACTGGACGCGCCCCTCTGGCCATCTGCCCCCACAGGCTTCTCCCTCGTTGGATGTATCCCAACTACATTGAAGGAATTACTGAAATAATTTCAGTGCATCGTCTGTCGCCCTCGAGACAGAGGGACCTGTCGTGACTGCTCTGTTTCCAGAAAGCGTGCCTGGGGCAGTGACTCGCAGCAGGCACTCAAACTGTTCTTTCCTGAAACCTTCAGCGATGGTGTCCTCAACCCCAGGCAACACACATCCAGGCTGACTTACCATCGCGCCACTCCTGGCTGAGCCATTCAGAGGCAGCCACTGACTTCTGCTCCTCCCCGGGTGGGTGACACCACAGGGTCTGCTGACCAGGCACTGGGTCGGCACGCTGCACCTCGCGGACCCGCCGCGGGTGAGCACGCTGAGGCTCCGGGCACGTCGGGAACCTGCCCCACACCACCCAGCTAGCAAGACGTGGCAATCGGCTTCACACTCGGGTCCCTGTGGCTTTGGCGTTCATTCATTCCACAGACCCTTCCTTGGGGCCTCCCATGTGCCAAGCCCTGTTCTAGGCCCCAGAGACAAAGCAGCTATGAAACAGGCTGTCTCCCTCGTGCCCACATTCCAGGGGAGACAAATAGTCAACAAAGAAACCGACAGCACCAGGGTAAGGTGACGGAGGGGCCAGCAGCCTCGGCCTCCTTAAGGAGACAGGCCTTAGTCGCTGTGACCCGGCTCTCGGCCAGGAGGCCGATTAGGCCAAGACGGTCATCAGAGCTGTGCCGGCCCGGGGGGTACTTACTCGGTGGGCGGGGCCGGAGGCAAGGTGGCGGTCACCTCCTCAGCTTTCCACTTCTTATGTCTGACTTCTCCTCGTTTCGGGGAAATGTCATCATTGGTCCTTTTCTTCGCTCCTTTCTCATTGCGCTGTGCCCGGATCTTCCTGTTCGTCAGACATCCTGAGGGCACAGAGCCCCGTGTGGCCTTGGGGTCTGTGTTTTCTGTCCCCATCTCATCTCTCTTTGCTTTATCTGAGATCACTTTACTGTTTTGTTGGACACCTTGGGGCTGCTTTTTGGAATCCGTCTGAGAGAGAACAAGAGCCTCTTCCGGGGCCTGTGATTTTTGTTTCAGCAACTAACGGAACCCAAGATAAAACACGAAACACATTTTAATTTGGAAAACATGCACAAAGGATTAAGAAGGCTTACACGTGTGTGTGTGTGTGTGTGTGTGTGTAAAAGCAACCTATTTCCACATTTAGAGTTAATTCCTTCACAGCTCAGGCCAACAAGCTGGTGCATGGCAGCCACTTTCTTGGTTTGCTACTGCTGTGAGGGTCTCAGGAAGAGAGGAGTGTGTCCAACAAAAAGAGGCTGAAAAAGGGTTGGCAGCCGCACCCCTGCTCTCCTACACGGAGGGCTGAGGTCTCCCAGCCCAACCTCCTCTTGCGTGCAAGTCCCCGGTGTGACCATTCTCAACACGGTTAAGACCCTGCTATGTGGCAACCAGTTGAGTGATCAGGCGGGTTTCTACTTACCTGTTCCCATAATGTTTAGAGATGAAAATACTTTCTTGTATGAACTGGAGAAAACACAAAGTTTTTTCCATAATAAATATCCCTCTGCTTGCTTAGTTCTGCTTTACTTTCTTGCGAGAAAGAGATAAAGTTACAGCTCAAGAAGTCAGAGCACCCGGGGGTTGCCGGAGGGAAAATTTCATCAGCCCGTGTGTCAAGACAGGAGAATGCTTTGGACGCTGCCCTAAGGTGCCCGGCTGTGTTAGGAAGCTCAGGCGCTCTTACGCTCCCGCTCTCGCTCTGAGGCTCCCTCCGTTACCGATTTCGGGAACTAGAAGAGACTTTGAAGGTCACGCCCCACGGTGTGAATGTGCACCCCCGTCTGCCATCTGCTAGCTAGCTATGCGACCTTGAGTCAAGTTCCTTAAACTCTCTGCCTCGTCTAGAAAACAGCGATGACAACAGCAGCCAACTCAACGGAACTGGAGAGAATTTATGAGTGAAGCACAGCAAACAGCATTTAGGAGACAGTAACCTGTAACCTGTAGGTAAGTTTGGGCCACTGATTCCGAGAAAGGCAGTAGGTACAACACGGCATTACGAGCAGGGACTTGGGCGTCTGACTCCTGGATCTGCTGAACCGGCTGCAAACCTGGACACCTTACGTAACTTTTCCGGCCCATTTCCTCGTCTGTAAAGTGGAGATGATTAAGGACTCTACCTCAGGGTTGGTTAAATAAGAACACAAGTAACTCAGCCGGCAGCGACTGCACATTTTAAGAGCTCAGCAGCCGGCGGCAGTTGTTGTCAACTCTCACCTATTAAAGGTCCAGGATGTTGCCAAAATCCTTTACATCAAGTCCCTGCCATTCACTGGCCTGCGAGCTCGCTGCCGCCCTCAACAGGCCACCTCTCTGTGAACCGCTCTGTCCACAGCGTTCACGCCAATCTGCGCTCCCTTGGATCCCACAAGCCCTTCTCCGTTTTTCCATCCGCGGGGCCCCCGCGGCCTTACCTCCTCCTGCAGCGCCTTCCAGTTTTGGGAAAAGTCCTCCGGTGCCTTTGGAGGTCGCACCACGACCACGCCGGGGCCGTTTCCCGGCTTTCTGCCTGCTTCTCGCGCTTTGTTCTTCCAAAATCTTTTCTTCCTGTTTTTCTTCCGATTCGGCTTCTTGACGAGCTCGGGCTCAGGCGCGGGGTCGCCCGGGGCGCGCTCGGGGGCCAGCACCCTCGCCTTCGCCATCCCGGCACCGTCCCGGCCCCCGCGCCCATCCACGGTGGCGCCGCGGCCCCGGAGCCGAGCTCTGCCCGCCGAGCACAGGTCCCGCCGGACCCCAATTCGCCGGCCGCGGGGACAGCAGCGCGCGGGACCCCGGAAGCCCCCCCGCGCGAGTCTCCACACGTGAGCGCCGATCCCAGGAAGTGCCCTTCTCTCGCCGACCGGCTGGAAACCGGGCCTTCGCCTCTGGTACCGCGCGGCCGGGAGCAGGGCGGGGCTCTTTGGCCCCCAAGGAAAAGGGCTGCCACCCCGGCGAGCGGCGTCCGCGGTCAGCGACACAGGATCCGGTTGGGGTAAGCCCGGGATCTCCCCGAGGGCCGGCCTGGGGCCGAGAAACGTGAGCGCCGGAAGGGAACTGGGGGGGGCCGCCGTCGGTGTAACACCGAGGCCCGGCCGGTGGAGGGCGGGGCAGGCGGCCGCCAGGGGGCGCTGGACGGCCGGGCCTGGGAGCGGCGGGTGCGGAGCGGACTCACAGGGACCCCGGGCAGCTGTCTCCCGCCCCGGGGTCCGAGCCCGGCCCATCTTCCCTACGCGGCGGGGAAATTGAGGCCCAGGGACGGGAGGGAGCAGCCCAGGTCGCACAGCCTGCTTTCCCAGGGCCGTAGTTCAGCAGCATCCGATAACAATAATAAGCTCTGTAACGAGTGTTGAATTGTATTATTTTGTGTGACAACAACGATAACGAGTCACTTGCGCACCATGTCTTGGCTCTGGCAATACCTGGATCAGCGACACAGGTGAGGCCTCCACTTCCCCAAAGCTTCCATCCCAGGCTCTGTACGTGCGTGGGGGCCTTCAGGGAAACACAAATGCTAAATCAACAATTGTGGATAGTAGTAATTGCAACGAAAATGATGAAGTGAGATACCGTGGTACGGACTTGAGGAGGAGTAAGGCTACCCAACAAAATGCAGGACGCCCAGAGAAATAGGAATTTCAGATAAAGAATAATTTTGAGTATAAAAATGTCCCATATATTAGCTGCAATTTGCGGGGCATACTTAACACCAAAAAAAAAAATGCATTGTTTACCTGAAATTCAAGTTTCGCTGCTGTCCTAATTTTTATTTTCTGAATGTGACACCTTTCCCTGGGGGGCCACTTAGATGGTGCCACGAGGGAGGTGACATTTGAGCTGAAACTAGAGCAGCAAAGCACTGGGTGTATTTGAGGAACGGAAAGCAGGCTGGCGGGGGGGCGGTGGCTGAAGGTCTGTGAGCAGTGTGGGGATGGTTGGGGAGGCAGGCAGAGGGCTGGTGCCACCGTCCCGGTTCTGTGGGCAGCCGTTGGCTGCAGGCACAGAGCAGGCAATAGCTGAGAGGGAGGGAATGAGGACAGGAGAGCGGGAACAGGTCATGGAAAGCAGGGTGTCCATAGGAAGCAGGTGTGATGGTGCCTCAGCCAGCCGGGAGCCACAGTCACACAGATGGGAGATGAATCCCACCCCCGCTCTGTGCTCCCAGGCGCAGGACCGGTGGCTGTGCTCTGAGCCAAGGCCCAGCCCAGCCCAAGGCCGGGCGGCGGCGGGAGGAGCCTGCAGGCCGCCCAGCCCCTCGGCCCCTGCCCTGGGAGGAAGCGCTCACGAGTAAACACAGCCTCATCATCCAGCCCAGCGGGTCTGTCGCATTCCACTCCGGCCAGATTGCAGTCGCTCTCCCTTCCTGGGAGGATGAGTGAGCTTCGCCTCCAGGGGAGATGTGTGCGGGCAATTCTCATCTCTGTGCCCCTCGTCCTCCTGGGCTGCTGGGGACTCCCTGATTTCCGGCAGGTGGGTGGATCCGAGGGCTGCGGTGCTGGGGGAGCCCCGGTGCTGGGGGAGCCCCGAGAGCTGGGAATCTGGGCTCCGCTGGGTGCTGAGGGCGGGTCCCTGGGGGAGAAGCGGCTGCCCGACAGCCCTTGGGCCAAGTGGGAGGAAATCCGAACTTGGGGTTCAGGGGCTGAAGTGGGCTCACTGGAGAGGGAGTTGGCCTCGGTACTGTCCACCCACCTGTTGAGGGGCAGACCCGGCTAGGCGGTGTGAGTGGCTTGCCCCCTCTCCATCCTGGGCCCCCTCTCCATCCTGGGCCCCTTCCCCCCCCCCCCCCCCCCCCCCGCCTGCTCCTCTCCCACACCTCCTTCTCCCTCGTCTTCCCTCACTCATCCTTTCTCCCACAGCAGTTTCTTCAGGCTTTGGAGCCAGAGGAAGTGACCGCTTACTTTGGCCCTGACGTTGCCTCCGAAGGTACTTGTCCTGGCGTCTTCCTTGCAAGGGGAGTTTCTCAGAGCCTGCAGGGGGCATCTCACCCTTGGGTCAGGGACCTTGGCTTTTCAGTGGCTCAGCTGAGAGGAAGTCAGAGCTCCTGCTGTCACCCCGTTAATTAGTTCTGTTACTTCCTGCCAAGTCGATAAAAACTGGTCTGGGTGTCCTGGGCCGGGCTGGGGTTGTGACCCTGGGATTCTGCTCAGTATCTCAAGGGAACGGGCACCAATTAGCTGGTCTCTTCCACCCCTGGGCCTCCCTTTGGGCTGACTGACTGTCAGGAACTCTTGCAGTTTCCGGCCAGGATGTAAACATATTTATCTTTTCTGTGAGACACAAGAAGGGCGCTGGGTCAAGCTCCAGCCAAAGCCTTTTCCTGTTGCTCGTGGACCGTGTCTGTGGACTTCTCCATGGTGCCAGCCCCCTTTCCAAGTAGGGCCATTGGTGATCCAAAGGCAGTTGGGGACCAGAGGCAGGGTAGGCTAGTGGTCAGAGTGGAGGGAATTAGGGGTGTCCCACTCGTGCCTGCCTTCTCTGTGGTCAGGGCCAGATGCACGCTGAGTGATGGCTGGGGTCGCGCTGCGGGCAGGGGGAGCTGTGCTGGAGGGCCAAGCAGGGGGGAGTGAGGGGCCTCCTATCTCCTGCAGCGCCCTGATTCGACGTGGCCCCGCTCACCTGTGTCTGTGAGCCCGAGCATGAGGCCAAGGACGGGCGCGGGGGGCTGCCCTGCAGGGCCCCACGCTGCTCCCTGGCAGCCCTGGGACGGCTTTTCTGGGCCTCCTCACCACCTCCTTCACCAGCGAGCGTGTGGTCAATGCCTCCCTCCGGCTGCTGGGGGCCCCCTACCCCTGCCTCACGGGAGGCCTCGCCCTGCTGCCCCCAGGCGCAGCGTCCAGGCTCACCTTCTGCTTGGGCTGTGTGGTGAGTGGGCGCCCAGGCCGGCAGCAGGGGGAGGTTGTGCCGTGGGGACCCCAGTGGGGCAGAGATGCCTCCGAGCCCCCACTGCACAGCCAAACGTGAGCGCAACACCACTTAGCCAGACTCTGACGCCATTGGGGCCTGTTCCTCGAGGCTCAGAAAAGCCAGCTGAGTTTCCCAAGGCCACCCAGCTGGCAGGCGGCAAGCCCGGGGAACAGGGAACGGAGAGGGGGTGGGCTTTGCAGTCAGACCTCTGAGCTCAGACTCCAGCTCTGCGCCTTAGTATAGGCGACCTTGGGCCAGGCACTCCCTGGACGTCAGCGTCGTCATTGATGGGACTTCCCAGGTGGTCCAGTGGTTAGGACCCGGTGCTTTCACTATGGGGGCCCGGGTTCGATCCCCAGTCGGGGAACTAAGATCCCACAAGCTGCGAGGCCAAAAAAAAGAAGAGAAAAGAAAGATTAAGAAAGAAATGGTGAAGGCAGCAGCAGTGGCCTCTTGGGTATCTTTGGGGATTGTCACGCGTTGTCACGATGCGTCACTGAACGAGCCAGAGCCGTTTATATCATAACCACCCGCCTCCCCACCCCATCAGGAGGCCCAGTCTGGGTTGGAACAGATGCGCTCAGGGCCCATCTAGTGACAGGCAGTACTGTTCATTAGCGCAGGCCTAGCTGGTCCCTCAAGACCCCCTCCATTCTTGCACACGTGGGGCCCCACCGGGATCCTTACCAGGCCCTGTAGACTGGGGCCGGGAGGCCTTGTGCGTGACGGGGACTGGAAGCGTGGCTGGGGACCTGGCAGCAGGTGGTGGGCAGCGAGCGCAGCCCCCAGAGGGCGTGGCTCCCCCGCTGTTCCACACAGATGGGCTCTTGGACCTTGGACTTGGGCAGGAGCCCTTGGAGGGGGCAAGTCCATGCCTGGTGCTGTGATGGCCCTGCATGGGGGATGGGGCTGTATGCACCAGGCAGCTCTCTCTCCTCCAGGAGGGTGACATCCTGGTGGGTGCAGACAGGATCTATATCCAGCCATTGAGGAGGTGGCACCGGGAGCTGGTGCCTCCCTGGGGTGGTGCCCAGCCCCACCTGCTCCACAGGCCCACCCCCAGGGCACCCACGGTTCCAGGTACAGCTCCTGGGAGAGGGAGGGCAGAGCTGCGTCGAGGACAGCTCTGCAGGAGGGACCAGCTCTCCTGATGCCTGGGCCCAGCTCCACCAGCCACCTTCGTTAGCACGCAGGGGAGTGCCCAGCTCACGGGGCAGGCCAGGAGAACACGTGGCCACCAGCCGTGGCCCCAGGCCGTCTGCTTGGTGGGCAGGTAGACCTCCCGCCTCTGAACAGCCATTCACAGCTTACAAAGCGTGTTCACAGACGTGCGCCATGGAGCCTTGGGCGGGCCGAGGTCAGTGGCTCCTGATAGATCCGATGCTGCAGATGGGAATCCAGAGGCCCAAAGATGGGAAGCGGCTGCCGCAGGCCTCCAGGACGGCTCCAGGGTATGGGCAGGATCGGGCCGGCTCTGCTGCCAGCACGCCCGCTCATGCCTTCCCCAGGCTGCGCCCGGCTGCAAGCGGGGTGTGGTCCTGGGCTTCTCTTGCCGTCTCGGGGTGACCCCCTACTCCAGTGTGCGCCCAGCGTGGAGGTTTGGGGTGGCCAGAAGGACATAAAAGCCACACAGCAGCTGGTGTCTTCTGGCCTTGCGCTGCCCCGAATACCCAGGCAGCAATGGGCTCTGGGCCCGAGGGGTGGAATGAAACGTCTCCACCTGAGACGGCCATCCTCCCAAGACCCGGCCGCGTCTCCCCTGTAAGCTGGCCGAGCTGTCAGTTCTAATGGTCACAACGTGAATGACATGCGAGAGCTCGGGACCTCTCACCCTCTGAGAGTGTTTCCTCCCGAAGAGCTGGGAGGGCCAGGCTACCCCAGATGAGTTGGTGGGTGTCCAAGGGCGTGAAACCGGGGTGCTGAGGGGCCGGCTCCAGGAGGGCCAGGGCAGAACTGCTCAGTCAACATAGAAAACTAGCTATGGTTACCAAAGGGGGAGGGGGGAAGGATAAATTAGGAGTTTTATATACAGATACACCCTACTGTATATAAAATAGAAAACCAACAAGGTCCTACTGTATAGCACGGGGAACTATACTCAAGATTTTGTAATAACCTTGGACTTCCCTGGCAGTCCAGTGGTTAAGACTGTGCGCTCCCAGTGCACGCAGTGCGGGGTCGATCCCCGGGCGGGGAACTAGAATCCCGCAAGCTGTGCAGCATGGAGAGAAAAAAAAAAAAAAAGATTTTGTAATAACCTATAAGGGAAAAGAATCTGAAAAAGAATAGACGTATACGTATACGTATAACCGAATCACTTTGCTGTACACCTGAAACTAACACAACACTGTAAATCAACTCTGCCTCAATAAATATATAAACAAATAAATAAACCAAATGCTTAACCAATTAGTCATTAAAAAACAAAAAAAGAGGAACCGCTCCCTCAGTCTCCCTGTGCCGGGAGACGGGCCCTCTCTGGCTCCCCACAGGCCCTGTGAGAAAGCGAGGGTCGGGCCCGTCCACGCCCTAATCCCCACAGTAAGCGGCGCATCCCCAAGCCCAGGAGTGCGGGGTGATGGAGGGGCCTGGCCATGGAGGCCGCGAGGTCAAAGCCACATCTCACCTGCTCTCTAGGACCCTGGCTCTCGGCCCTGCCCCCCGCCCCACCAGGCCGTCCTCCCGCCCCTCGCCTGCGGAGACAGGCTGCCAGGAGCCTCCTGCACCTGGAGCTGCTGGTGGCCGTGGGCCCCGACGTGCACCGGGCTCACCGGGAGGACACGGAGCGCTACG